GGTCGGTCCGTCCGGCTGGCTGTCTGCCCGCGGGGGGCCGCCACCCCCCCCACGCGTGCCCGCTCCCCGCTTGTTTCCCCCCGCGGCCGCTCCACGCGGCGGGGCGGAGCGGGGCCGTGACGCGGCGGCGGCGGGGCTATAAAGCACCTGCCAGGCGCCCGCCGGCTCCACAGGCATCGCGGCGGCTCCGGCTAAAGCAGCGCACGGAGGAGCAGCGGGAGAGCCGGGGGGGGGGCGGGAAGGAGAAAAAACCCCAAAGCCCGAAGCCTCCAGCTCTCTCCGGCCGTCCCAGCCCCACGCCTGCGAGACCTGCGGCCATGCCTAGCCCCCCCGCCGGCGCCGTGCTGCTGGCGCTCGCCCTCTGCGCCCTCCTGGAAGATGGTGAGCCTCGGGCTGGAGGCGGGGGGGGCCTCTGTGCCCCCCCCGGGCGTGCCTGCCCCGGCGGGGGGACGCATCTGCGCCTCCTCGGCTGGGGGAGTGGGGCTGAAGGGGGTGACCTGGGGTCTGCCCGAAGGCTGGCTGCGGGCTGGGGGGGCATTGCAGGGTGCCCTGGCTCTCGGGGGTAGCCCCTGCTGCTGCCAGGGTTGCGCAAGTCCTTCAGGATCCCGCAGCCTCATCCCTAAGGCTGCACCTCCTGCAAAACTGCCTGCATATTGAAACCACTGTCGTCCTTACCGGGGGTGTAATTGCAGAGGTGACATACTGATGGGCATTCCAGGGCTCTGCACCGAGCCTCCAACTCATCCCTTCCTCCTTCTGCTGCAGGTACGGGCCATCCTCCGCTGGAGTCCCACCTGGCCGCACACCCGAGGACCAAGCGATGTTCCTGCAACAGCTGGCTGGATAAGGAATGCATTTACTTCTGTCACCTGGATATCATCTGGGTCAACACACCTGGGTGAGAGTGAATGTGGCTTTCTGCGGGGGGTGGTTCTGTTGCTGAGTAAGTGACTGTACTTTCTGATCGAGGATGGGGTTAGGTTAGAGGAAGGTGAGAAGGGGTCCCAGTGCTGTGAGGCTCTTGTAGCACCTGCTCTGGAGAGCATTGCAAGTCCAGTCCTTTCCAACATCTAGAAGGGGCCAAGCTGTGCTTCTGCTCAGGAGTTTCAGTATTACCCACAGGGGAAGGGGGTGAAAGCACAGGGCGCTGCTTCCTCACGGGTTCATCTTTTTCTGAGATTTGTACCTCTGTGAGCCGAAAGCAACACCAAGATGTTATAGCTGCAAGTCAGAAAGTTACTCTACCCGCTTGCGAACTGCAACCCTGACTGCTGACTGCCAGTATTGTTAATGAGACAGTGGTGGGCTGGCACTCAAGTCCTGTGGCTGCCAAGTCCTGCCCTCAAGAATGCTAGAGCTGCTTTCCGAGCAGATTCAGACCAATAGCCATCACACTGTAGCAAAACACATGTACTCAGGTGTGGTTATAATCATGCTTGCTAACGTGCAATTACAACTCACTGCTTGCTCGGAGAATAGTTGCAGTCACTGCCAGTCCTAAACCCTCTGGGAGAGTAGATTGTGATCAAAGATGGAGCGGGAATGTGCTAACAGCTCTGAAAGCATGCTGTGATCAGAAGAACCTGTTATGGCCCCAAGACATCTTCATTTGTACTACGTCCTGTGTGTTAAAACCCATGGGGGGAGGGAAAGCCCTGATATCTTTGTGCTTGAAAAACTGGTCACTTGCTGCTGGTGGGGCTAGTGAACTGGGGCAGCCACGCTCCTCGTGTGCTTTGCCACCCAGGTGAACAGCCAGCTCGCCTAGTCCATGCGGCGACCCTTGCACGGGTGCCTGGGCTGCTGCAAGGAGAGAAAATTCCACTGGCAACCCAGCACATACTGGCAATCTCCCTGGGAGGGGTAGGGTGGGGAAAACAGTAGGTGGGAGAGCAGCTGGAGTTTAAAGGCTTAGACATATCAGTGACCTTTTCACCTTATGTCTGTAGATGAGTCTTTTATTATCCTGGCACTGGCTTGGCTGCCTCCCAGGACACTGTTATAAACCTGTTGGCTAATAAAAAGTTGCATAGCTGATTTCTTTTGTTTTTAACAGACACACCGCTCCCTATGGCTTGGGAAGCCCGCCAAGGCGGCGCAAGAGATCGCTCAGCAGGTGCGAATGCTCGCACTGGAGGGACAACATCTGTGTCACCTTCTGCCAAGCAGAGCCTGGGTAAGTCGAGGGGGTCCTGGGGATGTCCCCGGGGGTTGCTCGGCAAGGATGCAAGCAGACAGACAAAGCTTAGGAGCTGCAGTAACTCTACAGCCTCCCTGGGGATGTCTGCGCAGCTCTTTGCAAACAGCTGGAACTTGTCTAGTGGCTTTCATAACCCTCCCAAGAGGCCCTGGCAAAGTGTCACTAGGGTGTTTTTGTTGTACAATAGTCTCTTTACTAGCTGATATGAAGCAATGTTACCTCCATCCCTCCTGCTGCCAGGAGGCTGAGGAAGTGCTAGGTGCGCTGGTGGGAAGGGAGGAACCGGCAGCATGCTGGGAGAGGAACAAGCAGAGGGTGTGAAGCTTTGGGACACTAGTGTCTCTTGCATGGCTCAGGTGGGAGAGGCTGCAGGAGACTAGGACCACTGTGAGCTGGGACCCAGAAGTCAAATATCTTCTGTAGCCATCTCTTTTTATAGTGCACATGGGCTCTCAGTTGTCTCACTTCAGCCAGCAGCATAGAGGAGTGCTTACACTGTGGGGAGGTGGGGAGCAAAGTCATTGTAGAGATCTGTCATTAATTTCATAGCAAGGCAATAGCTAAAATCCCCAATCATTAAATATGACTGTGAATAGAGTGAGGTCTGACAGAAGAGGATAGCAGTAAAAGTGAGCTATGAATAGCTCTCAAATAGCTGCAATTAACCCTTCAAAAACATGCATTCAACTGTCTTAGTCTGTCACTGGTGATGTTAGAGCAACACTCCCCCTGGTACTTACCACAGCATGGTTGGACGTGAGTCGTTCATGCGTCTCCTCTTGCTCATTAGGTATCTCCAGAATCTGAAGCTCCCAGTGAGCTCTGGAGCATCAGTGAAATCTCTGCAGACCGCTGGCATGAGGCCTTCCCATCATGGCCTGCTGAGAGCTCTCAGGTGAGCATGCCACTTAAACCCACTCTGAACATCCCTCATAAGCACTTTAAGATCTGCGGTTGTGACCCCAGACTGCAGTTACCACTTGGATTTGACCTGACTTCTCCCTCTTGTCTCCTTGTAAATGAGTATACTTGACTATTTCTGCTTTCTGTAGAATTGAAGGCTAACAGCTGAGGGAACCAGGGTTGCTTGTGTCCTTCCAAAACTGGAGGAATATTACATAAAATGTAATTCTTGATTGGACTGGGAAATTCCTCTGATATGGGACAGGCAAATGGGCAATGTACAAGAAGCGGGGGAAGGGACAGCATCATGTAGGAAAATGATTGATTGGGCAGCAACTTTGGACCAAAGGAGACAGCTTTTCTCACATCACATCAGTGAGTTGCGGAACTCCCTGCTGGAAAAAAAATGCGGACTCCAGAAGTGTAAATGAGTTAAAGGGAGCTGGCAAACTGACGGAGGGTTGGTCTCCTGGTGGCAGTTAAATCAGATGCAATGGGAACACTTTCTGCAAGGCAGATCTGGGAAAGCATCACTTGGGTCATGCCCTGCTGCAGGACTCCTTGAATCCTCTGCCACCGGCCACTGGTGGAAAGAGGATATTGGGCTAGATGGATCTCCGCTGTGGCTTAATACAGCTGCAGCTAGAAATTCCCCTTCTTCCTTCCCCCCTCTTCTGCCTCACAATAAATCTTGGCGAGGGGTAGACAAATATCATAATATGGGCTGTTGCTGAGTAGTAGGAAAATGGACTGGAGAATGAATATTGTGTCTCTTCTGTTTACAGGGATCTTGCCGTCTCCAGTCTGCGGTTCAGCAAACATCAGCACCGTTCTCGGAGGAATGCATAGCCAACAGTTTTGCCTTGGGAGAAAAACATCTAGAAGAAGAAGAGATAAGAAGCAGGTGCATACCAAGTTCACCAGAAGAATTTGGAGTCCCGTGGGTGCCACTAACTCCGCTGTGGGTACTTAGAGCTGAAGGAAAGGCCATGAGTGGAAGGGGGAAGAAGTGGAAGTCTCCATGCTCCTGTTGCGTGAACCAGTACTGCATGCACTCCAGAGACTGTTGTAAAGGGAAAACTGTCTCTCTATACAGTCATTGATGTGTCGTGGAGCTGAATTGTGCCTTTTTGGATCAGGCAAGGGTCTTGCTGGAGGAGTACTAGCTTAACTCTGCACTGGAGTCCTAGGCAGAGGGTCAGCCCGCGCAGGGCAGTTGAATCTCTCGCAAACCAGACAGCTCTATGCAGTGCTGGACCTGGCAGCACTGAGCCCGTGTCACTGCCTGGTCTGCTCTGCCCTTGAGCCGTGTTTGAGCATGGTTCCAGCTTGGCCCCATTCAGAGGTGGTTTGGCTGGTCACTGTAGATGGGGATAAACTGCCTCTAGCGTGAGCCCACCTTTGCACTTTTTTCTCTTACTTGGCAGACAGTGCGATGTGCGTATGAATGAGACTCCCATGGTAAAACAGCTCCCAGTTTTTATTAAAAAATATATATCATCTAGAAGCCGGAAAGCCAACGGAGTAGTCAGTGGCATTCTTTGGCTGAGAAATTCACTGAAGAGCCATCCTTAAGTGGCTCTTGTTTAGGTGGAGGATAGCTTGCTTACACTGGAGCTTGCATCAAATCTGAGCATGACCCCTGCTATCAGGCACAGCAGTGGCAGGGGTGGGGAGGCTGAAGTGGAGCTGTGTTTCAGCAGGAGCCCCGTGCATGCAGCTCCATGTAGCCTGGGGGAGGGAGCCCCGCTGGGTCCGAGGCAGAGCCGAGCTGCTAGTCTGGATGAGTTCAGTGCTGTGAATCTGTCTCATCTCCTTGGACATACCCTTAGTGGGGTAGAGTACTTCCAGCTCTTAACCTAATATCCCAGCTTTCTTTCAGCTCTGCCTGAAAGGAGAGGCTAGGGGCAGAGAAGATGGGTGGTGGGAAAATAGCACACAAAGGCTTGCTTGCTGCTTCGCTTAGATCAGGTCTCTGAGTCAGGCTCTGTATAATAAATGACCAGTATATGGATAGCATGTCACTATGAGAAGTGTAACCTGAATAGAGAATGCATTAGGCAGGGGGCAGGCAGGTGGGATTGATGTGGAGGAAAGGATTGGTAAGAAGAGAGCACACCACTGCCTGCATAGCTTTAGAAGAAAGGCTGGGATTTAAACCCATGCCAGAATCATGGCAGCTTCCACAGCTATGGAGCAGCACGGTGCTGCTGGCCCAGAGGAAGGAAGGAATAATTTGGAAAAAATACTGAGCCCAGGACCTAGAAACCAATCTTGCAGGCAAACACAGTCTGAAGGCTCTGGAGCTGTATCACAAATGCACTTTTGTTTGCCTGGGCAGATGAACTTCTATTATAAATCGTGGCTGCAGCTGTCATCTGATTAGTGCAGACAAACAATTGCTCTCCTGGAACCACTGTTGGATCCCCCTTGCTGCCCAATCCAGTATTACATGAGGCATTTAAAAAGGCTGCTTGAAGTTGGTGGTGGACCAAAATCTGTGGCTGTTGCAAATGTAGTCCCATTGGACATACAAAATACTCCCTTGATTATGCTTTAAGCCCTAGAGGGGGAAAAAATGAGACCAATTGATTGTATTGTAAATGAAACAGCAGACTAATCATTTGGTCCCCAAAGCTGCAGAGAATCTTTTCTATATTTGACCTTCTGAAGGTTTGAGTCATTCTGAAAAAAAAAAATCCTGAAAGGATTTGTTCCAGAGGAAACTTTGCACATGGTTTAATGTGAGCCTAGTAATTTAAAATAAAACTACTGCTGTAAAGTACTATGTATATCTCCTTGTGTGTATAATGTCTCCTCTTTAAGTGACTTATTGCACACATACCATATGTAGCATCCTGAAATCTGTATATTTATTTAAATCTATTGACTTTTTTAGACAGTAATTTGCAAAATTTAATTTTTAATAAATAATAATAAAAGTCAATACATTTTTCTTCCTTATTTGATGGCTGGGAGGTGGTGGATGAAATGAAAGAAATCCAGATGGCCAAAAGCACTGTGAAAGTGAGTGGGACAGCAGAGCTGGGTGAGAATTGGGAGGCTGTGTAGTCTTGTGAATGGTTCAAATTTCAGTTCAAAGTGAATCCATCTAGCTGGCTTAAACATTCCTTAAGTTAAAATAAATACCTCGTTCCTTTCTAGATGTCTGTGGGAACATAGATGTGAAATTATCACCAACTTATTGTGCTTAGGGCTGTGGATGCTGAGACCAGCTTGAATCCTTGTGCCAAGGGATCCTGTTTTCCCACGGCTGAGTCCTTTTCCTCAAAAGTTGGGGAACAGTGGGTGTTGGCATCACAGGGACAGAGCAACCACACACCCTCTCCCACACCCACCAACTTTTAGATCTGAGTTTTGCTGATTGTTTTAATTTATTTATTTTTTTAAAAAGTACAGTTAAATAGCCATCATCCATTTGATGGTCTTTGCCTGAAGACCAGGCCATTGATTATTCTGGTGTAGTTAACTCAGTGAATCTCATAGCATAACTATGAGAAGGGAATAAAAAAGAAACATTAATGTAATAGCTAGCACTATGCTTACTGCATACCCAGAAACCATAGGACTTCTTCGTGGGTTTCAATGGCTGCTTCCTGGGAACAGTAATTCAGAGACCTACAGCCCCATCCTTTCCTACTGCCCAGCTTTCTTGGCTGAGCTGCATCTCTCATGGCCAAGCCTCCACCCTGTGACTTGGAGTTAAAGTGTTGGAAAATCAGGGTCCTCCAGATGTTTCTACGACAAGAAGACATAGTTTCTATACTTTAATGATAAAGGTCCATGATAAAAAGGACTTTGAATTACAGGTAAAAGGGAAAAAAAGATACCCTGAAAACCTGCAAATTTCCTATGTATAATATCTAAGGTGCAATTCTCCCCTCTTCTGCTCAAACTTGTTCCAGAACAGGCCTGCAAATTTTGCCTGTTTGGGATAATTTCCATAGTGTCCTGCTTGGACTGATTTCAGGTGGTGTGAATGAGGAAGCTGAGGGCTGTTGAAAATTCATACATTTCCCAGGAAAGATTTCACCATCATCTGGAACATCTATTGAGTCAGCTGTGGGCCCAGCCTTTTATTTGTCTTTCTTAAATCACAGAACTATGAGCTTAGTCAGCCCTCGGTCTCAGAGAATAAAGCATCCCTGCTCGGGCAGCTCGAGGCCCAGCCAGCTGCGAGGGTAATAGCACAAGGGGAGCATCACATTTGCTGGAGGTGGGACCACAAGAAATGCTCTCCAACCCTGCTACAGTATGTGGGCTTGAAGCGAGACATCCAAACAGGGAAAGAGAAAATTTGAACTAATCCATTTGTGGGTGGGTTGTGTTTTGTTGTTGTTTTTTTGTTTTTGTTTTTGTTTTTTTTTCCTGGCCCTAAGATCAATGGACAGAGGAAAATTTGACACAGGGCTGAATGATGGAAAATCTTCCAGGGCAGGCTATCCACATTCACTCGGGGAACCTTTGGACTCACCGGTGAATGCTACAGAAGGAAATACTGGAAGTCAACTTCTCTGGAAAAACAGTTTAAAAATACCACAGGCCAGACATCCAGAAAAGTCCCCCAAGGCCCTGATCACAAAATCTCGGAAGACCTCCTTGCTAGGATCTTCTATAAGGCCACCAAGTGCTGAGGAGCAACCTGAGCCTGGCAGTAACCCAATGGTGTTGCCTGGAACAATGCCAACATCTGTGCAAAGCCCAGTCCTTCGGGTACAGTTTTAATTGCAAGAGCTAATTAGGTATCACCCAAGGGAAGAAGAGAAGGGAGATGTTTAAGAGCACCTTAATTAGGGTGCAAAGGGAGAAGACAGGACTGTGCTTATTCTGAGGTTATTGAATTCAGTGGTGAAGATTAGCTGAAGCTGGTTGGAGGCATATTTTATAAATTCTCACATGTAACAGGAAAGAACAGAATAACAAAACTTTAATTAAGAGGAAAATCCAGGAAAGCAGGCAACTTCCAAAGCCAGTTCTAAAGTATAAGTGATAGGGTGTCTTTTCTAAGATACAACATTTTGATTGAGCAGTCTTTTTTATGATTGACAGTTCCCATAAAAGTGGATCTCTTGTGCCCTGCATGTGATTCTGGCATTTTTTTCTGCAGCAGGAGTTCCTGAACAAGGGCCCTTTCTAGATGGCCCATAGGCAGCTAACTTTCCTTCTGCACTATGGGACAGTTCTGTCCTCATCAGGTTAGGCAATATTTTTTTTGATGGGACTTTGTTCACGTCTCGTATTTGTTGAACTGATAGGTTCTGCTTGGGAGAAGATGTGTTGACATAAAAATAGAAGGATGCTTTGAGTGAGGGCTATTTGGGTGGATGCCTTTTCAAGGCCAGCACGTTGATGCTTTGATGGAAAGAAGCAGCTGTCCATGGCAGATACCTGCTTTGCTATAAGATTTTCCTGCCTGGCATTTTGTAATTTTGCACTGTTTTGGTTTGGATCACCCTGCAGAAGAGCCGGGCCTTATGAAATAAGACCTAGGGTGTAACAGGAGGGGAAGGGACACTGAATAATGGGTGCAGGGTCATACTTTGCCATGGGTCATCAGCTGGTCCGTGTGCCTTTGATTTCAGCACCTGTGGCCTGAGCTACAAGATCAGGGGCCCTGTGGAGGTTGAATATGGTCCAGCGGTACAGACCCCCCAGACAGTACCAGTGGCCTCTCCAGTAGCTACGTCTCTATCTATAGGATTCAATCTATTACAGAAATCTTTCACTCCTGCAGGTGACTAAAGCTGAAGCTACACAGCACTGAGGAAGATATTCTGCAAAAGGTCTCTCTGGGAAATACCTCCTGTGAGCACTTGTGCTGTAATGCC